AAAAAAAACACATCATAGTAAAACCAATACCTTCTCAGCTTCGCATCGAAGCTAAAATGCTGCACAGAATGACTAACGACACAATTATCGATAGGCCTTATCGCTAAATCTTATAGTTATACGAAATACTACAAAAGACAAATAATAAAAAATATGCTTTTAATATAGTTAAAAACTGTAAAAATATTTGGTGAATTATAACTTTTAATTAATGTTGGACTAGTTAATTTTTTTTAACTCCTGTAACTAAGTTAATTAAAACAGTCCTGCACAGTGGGGTCGCGGCATAGTCAGGACAAGTGCTGAGACAAAAAAAAACGCTTTGATGAGTACCTGTTAAAATCATAATTTATATAATTGTAATTTTACAATTTTTAAAATTTCACTAGAATATAAAATGCTAGTTAATATATTTTGAACTTACTTTAAAAAAAAATGTTTTTACCATAATTTACTTATTTAACGAAAAATACCGAAAATATACGTTATTTATTTGTTAAATGCACGAAAGAGTAATTAAATTAACTTATTGACTTGTTTATACTTATATTTGATAGTTATATACAATAATTGAATTTCATTGTACATTTCTCTATAAAATTTAGACTTTATATTGGAGAAACTAAAGAATGATGGTAATGTTTACTAATTAATAAAAAAAAACTTAACTGAAATATTAATTAACATAGCATCAACATAATCATCGTCCTTATGGCAAAACTGTCTATCTAAACATATTGAGATTTAATTTATTTTCGAGAAATATTAATGTAACATAATATTAACATACATTTAGAGCGGATTTCAATTAAAGATATTCTATTTTTTCTTGATATAATAAAATATTAAAAATTCTCTTTATATTGTTAATAACACAAAGAGGATGTTTTATTATCTACTGAAAATTTTGGGAAATCGTATTATGCGATTTTGCACAGGACGATGGTTAATGATTAATTGTAAAATAATTAAATTGGTGTATGAATCATATATGATAATTTAATATAAATAAATATTTTTAAGCTCATAAAAATTAATTCATTGTAATGCAATAAAATACTCATTATTTAATAAAACATTTTTTTAGTAAACTTAACAATATAATATAACACATATAATATATATATTGTATAAATCTTATGATATAATATTAAATAAAAATCATATTTTAAATAATAATTATTTAATTAAGTACTAAATGTACATCAGTAAAATATTACTTCATTTTTAATCAGTTTCATTTAGTCTGAATTCATTTGTGGAATTTATGGAAAGTATTATGAAGAATCAAGAAAAAGGTAAGAAAAAAATGTATCAAATTTTTGACATGAGTAGACATGGTATTTGAACTTGCTTTAGAGATTATTTATTATCAAAAGTTTTAAATTCTACATTTTATCTGTTTTATATATACGTAGAATTATAATTTTGAAACATTTCAACTTTCATGTTACTATTACTACCATTTAATTAAAAAAATATAATGTCATAAATAAAATAATATTTTCGAAAGGTAATATAGAAAAGTTTTACATTATTAATACAAAAAATGCTGATGTAATTTGGAATGATTTTTTCTAGCACATAAACAAAAATTTCTTAGATTAAATTTTTTGCTCTTTACAAATAAGTGCAAACATAATTTTTTGGTACTTATAAATATGTTACTATATATGATATAATATGTTACTAACTAATTTAAAATTAGAAGATGTATTTATTTCCTACACAAATGTAAAATAATTAAAATAAGAATTGTGTGAGAGAGAAAATGTCTTCAATTAAATTTTATTTCAAAATAATTTTTTTATAAAGCACCTTAAAGTAGGAGTCAGAGTGAAATTTCAGTTAAAAATAAAATGTAAATAGATTATACTTTTAATAGAATCAAACAATATAATATATTATAATATCTTATATTATAAGATTTTTATAAAAATAGTGTTATTAAATAACGGTTCCTTATAACAAATACACAGAAAAGTTTTTATTTTTTACAATTAAAATTCAACTATCCTGTATTGATTTATTTGATATTTTTATCATTACTGCACAATGTCCTTTATACAGAGTTTTTAGTTAGTAAGGATGTTATAAATGTTACAAACAAAAAGAACAATAGAACAATCAGTTTCTATATATATACAAAGTATTTATGAACAAAACAAATTTTCTAAAAGGTTGATAACTAACACTGACAAATGCACTGCAAAAATTTGGTTTGCAAAAATCGCATAATAGATTTTTGTCCTCAAGATCTCTTTTGCACAATGTCCTTCATATACAGTTATTATAAGTATACCAATTGTTTTAAAAGATTGATAACTGACAATAATGTAATCATTATTACTTAATATTACATTTCAGGCGATCCGAAACGTTACTTAGTTCCACCAAGTGAGTAATTTAAATGATTAGAATTACTGATTCAGTTACTAAAATACTTCCCAACAGGTGGACATTATAAGAATCATTTAAAATTTTGATGCACAGCTAATTTTGAGCAATTTCTTTCGTTCAATTACAGGTGTTCTCGGTTTTCATAACTTAAATTCATTTTAGTAGATTTTTTTTACATGATGTAAAAAAAATATTAATATTAGGAGTAAATGAAATCATTAACTTTTATACAGATATGGAATTGTGTCATAATAAATCTGTTATACAATTTTTCAAGTTCGATAAATCTTTAGTTGTTCGATAACTATACGAGTTATTTTAATGAATAAGTAATTAAGTTTCAGTTTACCTTCTTCATCAATACTTTGTTTGTAATATTTTCAGGCAATGACATAACTGGTGTAACACTTCAAGAACAAACAATTCACGATTATCTCTGTGCATATTATAGTAAGAATATATTTTATGAATTGATTTTTTCATTTTTACAAAAATTTAATGTATCATTGAAGGAAGTAAAATTATTTTAAATAACAAATTTAAATTATGTTTCACTACTAGTTATTTTTTATGGATACATGTTAAAAAAATAAATGTCTCACTTTAAAATGAACATTCCTCTAATTTAATTTAAAATTTGACATAATATAGACATTTTACTCATAGTATTAAAGATTTAATACATAAATAATAAATACTTAACACATATTTTTATGAAATTGTTTATAAATATTAACAGTGTTGTAGTATATTTTATTTTTATTACCTTATAATTGGTTTTAATTGCTTGAAATCCAAAAAGTCAATNTAGTATATTTTATTTTTATTACCTTATAATTGGTTTTAATTGCTTGAAATCCAAAAAGTCAATATTTTCTAACTAGTAAAAATTGATTTCAGTAAATAATGGATTAACAATGGTAAAACCTGAGGTCTGGATTAATAATAACAGTAAGTTTTATCTATTGAATTTCAAAAATGACTTCTCGTGTTGAAATTATTTAGGTTCTTTATAGCATTGATAAATCTACAAAAATACACAATGTACAAATTCGATAAAAAAATATATACACTGTATGTATTTTTTTATAATAAAACAGCTGTTATTTACAATGTTTTGACAAATTTAATAACTTTTTATCCAGCGATTTGCGTTACTTTTTTTAAAAATAATTTTTACAATTTTGAATTTTATTAAAAGTTTATTTTTATTATTTGTCTGATAAAAAAATGAAATTTTTAAAAGTATTTGCCAGAAATTAATTGCTATATAGTGACTACTTAAAACTGTGGTGAGATTTTAACAATGAAGATACTCCAATAAATAATTAAATTATTATAGGCACTGAAGTTTAATTTGACGTAAAACTTATTTAGGCAGATCTTAAGGGTAACTACTACAGTTATCTAAAATAGCCAAATTATAAAACGTAATTTAACTAAGGAAAGACTAAAGAACCACTATTTTTTTAGCTTCGATGCGAAGCTGAGAAGGTATTAATTTTACTATGATGTGTTTTTTTTTTTATTTTTTTTTTTGTGTCTGTGAACGCTCAATCTCAGCTCTCGCTGGACCGATTTTGATGAACAATATGTCAAAAGATCACAAATCGTATCTAGTCGAAGACATTACCCTCAAAAATTGAAAAAAATTCCCTCGTTCCCCGTAAACGGGGGAAATCCCCCAAAAAATTACAAATTTAAAAATCGCTAATTTTCGATATTTTTTCAATTTTTTTTACTTAAAATTGCCATAACTTTTTTAAAAATGACCGAATCAATATAATTTTTTTTTTTATAGATACCTTAAATATTTACCTATCATTTTATATATTTTTGTGAACATTTGACCCTTTAACAGCCCAAAGGATGGGGTTTCAAAATGGTAACTTTTTTACAAAAAATTAACTTTTTCAACTTAACTTTTGAAAATGTTCCGGAAAGACTGACAATTTTATATATACCTTAAATTAAAGCTAATGTAATATACTTTAATTTGAAAAAAAAAAATTTGACCTCTGGACTTGTCTTCATGGTGAAAATGACTACCGTATGCAAAAATATGCTATTTTTGTGAAAAAATTCTTGATATTATATTTTACATTTTTTAACATTATGTTGCTATAACTTTTTAAAAAATGCATGAATCAACTTTATTCTTTAATGATAAATACTTTATATATACTTCTTTCATTCGACATACTTTTTTTTAAAATCGGACCATTTCCCTTTATACAGGGGGGGTGCAAACCTTTTAAAATGCGTATAGAAAGTAGAACTTTTTCAACTTAACTTTTGAAAATGTTCCGGAAAGACTGACACTTTTATATATATCTTAAATTAAAGCTTATGTAATATACTTTAATTTGAAAAAAAAAAATTTGACCTCTGGACTTGTCTTCGTGGTGAAAACGGACATCAAAGTTAAAGAAAAACGTACGATTTCCGTGAAAAAAATCTCGATTTTATATGTTATATTATTTAATTTATATTTTATATAACTTTTGGAAAAATGTATGGATCAATATTATTATTTTTTTATAATAAATATTTATATACTCCTTTCATCTACACGCTTTTTTTGTAAATCGGATCATACCCCTTTAACAAGGGGGGTCAAAACTTTAATCATGCGTATTGTTACTATGATATTTTCAATTTAATTTTTGAAAGTATTCCGGAAATACTGACACTTTTAAATATATCTTAAATTAAAGCTTATATAATATACTTTAATTTGAAAAAAAAAAATTTGACCTCTGGATTTGTCTTCATGGTGAAAATGACTACCGTATGCAAAAATATGCTATTTTTGTGAAAAAATTCTTGATATTATATTTTACATTTTTTAACATTATGTTGCTATAACTTTTTAAAAAATGCATGAATCAACTTTATTCTTTAATGATAAATACTTTATATATACTTCTTTCATTCGACATACTTTTTTTTAAAATCGGACCATTTCCCTTTATACAGGGGGGGTGCAAACCTTTTAAAATGCGTATAGAAAGTAGAACTTTTTCAACTTAACTTTTGAAAATGTTCCGGAAAGACTGACACTTTTATATATATCTTAAATTAAAGCTTATGTAATATACTTTAATTTGAAAAAAAAAAATTTGACCTCTGGACTTGTCTTCGTGGTGAAAACGGACATCAAAGTTAAAGAAAAACGTACGATTTCCGTGAAAAAAATCTCGATTTTATATGTTATATTATTTAATTTATATTTTATATAACTTTTGGAAAAATGTATGGATCTATATTATTATTTTTTTATAATAAATATTGATATACCCCTTTCATCTGGCACGCTTTTTTTGTAAATCGGATCATACCCCTTTAACAAGGGGGGTCAAAACTTTAAACATGCGTATTGTTACTACGATATTTTCAATTTAATTTTTGAAAGTATTCCGGAAATACTGACACTTTTAAATATATCTTAAATTAAAGCTTATGTAATATACTTTAATGTGAAAAAAAAAAATTTGACCTCTGGATTTGTCTTCATGGTAAAAATGACTACCGTATGCAAAAATATGCTATTTTTGTGTTAAAATTCTGGGTTTTGTATTTTATTTTATTTTAAAATACCTGACAAGGGGAGTACAGATTTTCATAAATATTATATAAATTAAAATTGATATAGTATAGATAGTTAAACTTATTTAAATATGTTTGTTTCTTTTAAGTCGAGAAAAATAACTTTGAAATTTGAACTAGCTTAAATAGCCAATTTTTCAACCGCCGGAAGCAACGTACGGTTGCCGAGTTGGTAAAATTTATGTTTTACACGCTTGGGGTACGAGGTTCCAACCCGCATATGGCAATGAATTTTTTGCATTTTTTCTTAATTCTTTTTAAGTTAGTATAAATTTTAACTCGTTTGATTTTTATCACATTTAGATTCAATAACTTCAATAAAGATCAAGGATCCCATCACTTTAGTCGCCCCTTGCAAGAAGAAATTTCTTATTCGTATTAAAATTATTTTACTATATTTTAAGTTTTCGCTTCGATGCAAAGCCGAGAAGATATTTTTTTGTGACTATCATTTATTTTCTCTGCTCTAACTTGACCTACTTTTTTCAACAATACGTCAAATTACTACAATTCGTATCTAGTTGAAGATATTACTCTCAAAAATTGAAAAAAAAATTCTAATTTATCAATTAAACAGTTAGTTATTACATCGTCTCCATAAAGACAATTAAAATCATTAATTTCTAATGTTTTCAAAATATTTATTAACGAATGAAGTTTGATATGATAGGTTTCAACTACAAAATTAAATCATTTTACTTTGTAATTTAATAATTTTATTACTCTGTTTGTGTGTGCTACTATTAGACTATAATATTCAAATTTTTTTCTAACGTGTTGCTATATAAATCATTTCTAAAAAAAATGATTGTTTTTTCTCCTGAATTAACAATTGATTTTTACAAATATAATCAAATTTTATAATAAACTCAATTGAGTAAATCTTTTTAACAACTTTGTTTTGATTGGTACATTTAGTTAAAGTAAATCATTAAAATTAATTAAGTTCTCAATATTTCAATTATAGAATCTTTTCAACAAACAACAAAAGTTCCTAGGAAATTATTACTATTACTTCTATTTAAGTTATCTATTACCATAAAAATGCAAAAAAATATTGAGCTTTTCTGATAAATTTACAATAAATAGTAATTATAAAACTTTCTGACTGCATATTGATCTTAACGATACAATTTTTTTAATTGTCATAAAATTTTCTATTTAATTATGTCAATGTCAAACTTACCAATTGAGCTAAAAGTTATGGTAAAATAAATTTTTTTTTTTTTTTATAAACATTTACAACAATCAACTTTAAACGATTAACAAAATTGGTTAAATATGTCATTTTCCTTATTTTTAACTTATTAATAATCAAATTAATATTAAATATTATATCAAATCAGTATTAATTTAAAACAATTTTTTTTGTTCTTAATTATTTTTTTTTATATGTAAAAACTATTTTTTAATAATATTAAAACTTAGAAGTTATAGAAAAAGTCTAATTGCACATTTTAAAACATCGCGAAAAGTTGATTTAGAATAGTATATTTTTGTTTCTGATGGAAGTTCCTTGTAGTCCAGTGTATAAAACTTATAACTTTGTTAATTGTTATAACTTTATCAAAAATGACCAAATCAGTATATTTTTTTTTATTTAGATGCATGTCTTTATCTATCATTTGGTTTTTTTTATAAATCTAACCCTTTACCTGCCCACAAGAGGGATTCAAAATATTAACTTTTTTTTTTTTAGTTAAAGTAAATCATTAAAATTAATTCAGTTCTGGATATTTCAATAGTAGAATCTTTTTAAATATCAAAAATTACTTAGAAATGATTACTATGATTTCTATTTAAGTGTTCTATTACGATAAAAATGCAAAAAATAATGAGTTTTTCTGATAAATTTACAATAAATAATAATTATAAAACTTTCTGACTGCATATTAATCTTAAAAATAACATTGTTTTAATTCTCATAAAATTTTCTATTTAATGATTCATTCTAGTCAACGAAGGAGTAATTTTGCAGAATAGCAGAAAAAATTCCCAACAAACTTTTTTTTTTTTTGTTTTAATTAGGCAATTGGTGGATTATTCCAAAAGCAACATCAACTCTTATTTCTTTAATTATATCATGATTAGTAGTTCTTTGATTTTAAAATATAATATTTGAATATATACTAATTATAATTATTAAATTTAGTATGAAATTGATATTTAATATTGTAATTTAAACGGAGAAATTATAAAAATAATAAAGAAGTTATATTTTGCTTTACTTTTACGTGTATAAAAATTTAAAGGGCTTGATACAATAATTTTCAATAAAAACTGTTTGTTACTATAAAAAAATGCACTGGACTACAAGGAACTTTCATCAGAAGCAAAAATATACTTTTCTAAATCAACTTTTCGCGTTGTTTTCAAATCTGCAAGTAGACTATTTCTATCACTTCTAATTTTTTATATTATTACTAATTATATATATAAAATAATAATTAAAAGAAAAAAAAATTTGTTTTCAAATTATTACTGATTTGATTTTTAATATGTTAAAAATAATCAGTCCAAATTTTCAATTTTAACCTATTTTTTTGGTTCTTTAAAGTTGATGAAAAATTTTTGATAAAGATTTATGAAAGTTTATAGTAAAATAAATTGAATATATTACCATAACTTTTAGCTCAATTACAAGTTTAAAATTGACATCTAGGCCAGTCAACAAAGGAAAAATTGCGGAAAAAATTTTGTTTTTTTAAAAGTTGAATTAAAATATGTATAATGACATACTAATAGTCCTCAAGATTGGAATTGAGCTTTTTTTTTAAATCCTCGCAAAAGTTCAAAAATATGAGCTTTCTTAATTTTCTCAAAAAAAAATATTTAACTTACAAAAAAAAGTTTCGCACAAAAGTTGTTTAAAAGACAATTATAAATAAAAATATAATCTTATATTTTTTCATTTAAACAAATATTTTTCGAGTTACATTACATTTAATATGAGTAATAAAATTTATATTCCATTTTTTTCATTTTACGGTTACTTTTTATCATGTTATACTTACATTAGACACAATGTTATAAATGCATATGTGTGTATGTGTGAGTTTATTTATTTATTGTATCATTAAAGTGTAGTGTATATTGAGATACAACCGATAGAGTAGGTAATTGATTTGACGCTATATTATTTAAACCCAACTAAACGCTAAATTGTACATTCCGAAATAACAATCATATTATGTCAATTGCCACCGGAATATCTGGTAATATTTTTCTTTTTCTTTGCCTTAATCCCAACTACTTGGGGTCGGGCACCCTTATCCTAAGATTCCACTTGACACGATCTCCCACATCTTCTACGCTCACATCAGCTGTCCTCAAATCGCATTCAATAGCATCCCTCCATCTCTTTTTTGGTCTTCCTCTATCTCTTCTTCCTTCAACATTCATTTCTATAACTGTTCTTACAGCTTTCGATTCTTCTTTCCTCATACCATGACTAAACAATCTAAGTCTATTTTCTGTCATCTTATCCACGATTGACGCAACACCTATACTTCCTCTTATATGCTCGTTCCTTATCCTATCTTCTCTAGTCACTCCACTCATCCAACTAAGCATTCTCATCTCTGCTACACTTATTCTCTGCTCTACTTTCTTATCAACCGCCCAACACTATTAACCATACATCATAGCTGGCCTCACAATTTCATACTAAATTTAAAAACTATAATTAGTATTTATTCATATATTATATTTTAAAATCAAAGAACTACTAATCAGGATATAATTAAAGAAATAAGAGTTCATGTTGCTTTTAAAATATTTCACCAATTTCTCTAAAGGAAACACTATCTACAGATTTGCATCGAAGCGTTTCTTATGATAGTGATTTTAATCACTGTCAGATATCATCTATACTTGTCCCATCTATGCCTCGTCCACACTGTGCCTCGACCCCACTGTGCTACCGTTTTTTTAATTATACGTTTTAGTAAATTAATTATCATTATATTTAAGATTAAAAACCTTTATTTGACTTTTTTATGTATAGATTCAGAAACATCTTTACTCAAAGAATATGAAAAACGGTATGAATTGATGAAAGAACTCTACAATATTTCAGATGAAACAATCCAAGGATTAAGACATATCAGATTAATAAATCCTGATTGCATACTGGTATTAGAAAATAATAAAACTTTTGAGTGTATTATTCAATAGATAAATAAACTAAATCGATAATAACATAACTAAATTTTGCCATGTTACATTATTTTTTATCAATCCTTTAAATTATCTACTTATCGAAACCTTATATTTATGAATTGAAAAAAAGTTATACTAAAGTGTTACTAAACTTATTTGTTGAGAAAATGATAGTTATCAACGTTACAGATGTTAACCATGGTACGTACTCGGACCGGTTCATATTATCAACGCATGATTCCGCACTACATCATTAGTGTGGTTATCTGTACTATCGACCGATCAGCTGTTACACACGTACACACCACTCACGCACATAGATACATAGTATAGTAAAAAAAATAAAGTATAGTATTGAATAGTGGAATAGTCATCTATTGGTAAAAATTGTATACTTTTAAATTGACTGCACTAAATGCAGCAAATTGTAAAACAAATTTTTAGTTCTTTGGTCATCATAGTGTTGTTAATGGAAATCGTGCTTAATTTGAGTAGTTTACTTGTTTTTACACTAATCCTAATTTTCTTTAAGCTACTAAAGAGACATTTATTGTGGTTTAATGCTACTAATTAGCCAATGTATTTTAATCAATTACGATAGTAAAAAAATTGTTTGTTACCAAAATTGTAGTTCCTTAAGTATATTTATTATTGTCGTGGTCTGTGTTTTTTAGTTTCGCAGCTATGCGACTTGTGAGTACTATTAATGATTTTTTGTATTTCCTCTTGTAGTTTAGTAAAGTTATTATTGATTGTGATTTATTGAACAGATTAGTTATTACAAGTTTTATAAATTTATTATTTATTTCATTGTTGACATTGGGCCAATGCACAACGGTCATAAAGAACTTGAGGATATAAAACAGTTATCATCGTATGGGTATTTGTTGTTTTATGTTGTAAGTAAATTATTAAATTATTAAACGATTTTTATTTTGTGTTATCTGTTCAATGTCAATTTTAATAATAATTACTAGCTACTCATTTTTGTCTATAGAATCAATTTTAGTCACATCATCTTGTTTATACTATTATCATAAAATTTGTCTTTTAGGAATTAATTATATAATTTTACAACATTGTTCCTATTTTTGGAGTTACTTTTTTACATATTGTTTATTCCTATAATTATTTTTAAAGCAGTGAGTTGAGAATTAAACATTATTGGAAGAGTTATACTTATTTATTATTGATTTATTGAAGTTGTAGAGTTTATTTTTGTTGTTACATATTTTTTTGAGTTTATATTTTTATTATTTTTGATAAGTTAAATTTACACTCTTGTTTTACGATAATTAAAAATATTAATACACTTAATTCAAGTTTAATTTAGATTAATTAATTTAAGAGTTCTAAACACACAAAACAAAAACACATTTACACATTTCTTCACAACATAAATCACTGGTTATGTGCAGGCGTAAATAGTGACTCTATTTACACGGCATAGCACAACACAGTCTGATCGGTTTTAAGTGATTTTAGCCGATTGAGTATGCATTATAATATTTAGTGCTCCTGTCTTCAACAATGACTATAAAATTAAGGGTCTTCAAGATTTTTTTGAATATTCATTTTGTTTCATTTTATTTCATTCATTTTATTGAATATTTTTTTAATAAACATCTATCGATATGTATATTTATTTTAGCTACGATGCGAAACTTAGAAGGTATTAATTTTACCATGGTGTCTTTTTTTCTAGAAATTACCATAATTTTTATGTAAAAATTACTATTTAAAATAAAATATTTTAATACATAGCACTACCATAACTATTTGAAAAATTAACAATTTAAAATAATTCTATTAGCTTCGATGCGAAGCTAAGAAGGTATTGGTTTTACTAAGATGTGTTTTTTTTTTTTTTTTGT